GCGTAGCCTCATCTGACGTTATCACGCATCGCGTAACCTCATCTGACGTTATCACGCATCGCGTAACCTCATCTGATGTAATCACGCGTTGCGTAGCCTCGTCTGACGTAATCACACGTTGCTTAGCCTCGTCTGACGTGATCACACGTCGCGTAGCCTAATCTGACGTTATCACGCATCGCGTAACCTCATCTGATGTAATCACGCGTTGCGTAGCCTCGTCTGACGTGATCACACGTCGCGTAGCCTAATCTGACGTTATCACGCATCGCGTAGCCTCGTCTGATGTAATCACGCGTTGCGTAGCCTCGTCTGACGTTATCATGCGTTGCGTTGCCTTGTCTGATGTAATCACGCATTGCGTAGCCTCGTCTGACATTATCATGCGTTGCGTTGCCTTGTCTGATGTAATCACGTGTTGCGTAGCCTCGTCTGACGTTATCATGCGTTGCGTAGCCTCATTTATTCGCATCAAACAGTCGAGAGGGAAACTAGATTGAAACAGTCTAGATTCAAATTTTTATTTATTTAATTTTTTGCGAATTTTGAAAAGTTCGAAAAAAATTCACTCTACAACTGGATGGAAACACGATGAGTGTGGAGACAAATTTAGAGAGCAAGAGCAGAGCTAGAAGGCAGAAGCCTGAGGAAGGTTTAAAAACAGCTGTTGAGGTTTGAGTCAGAAACTCTGTGACTCTCCGGCTCTTATCAGGATTCTGACACTCTGACTAGACATGCATCTTCTGCTGATTTAGCTTTAGGCTGGGTCATCTGGGTTTCCTCACTTCAGATAAGGTCATATTGTTGTCTGACAGGTCACGGGAACTCTTTGTTTTGACTAAGTTCAAGTCTTCATTTCTGATATTGTCATTGCCTCACAGAGCTTTCTTCACAGTTTACCCACGACCCAAGAGAACRGTAGGAAAGTTACCAGGCGCCTTATTCCTTACTGGAACGTGGCGTACGGTCAAATCCAGAAAATGGCGTACGCACAAAAAAAAATCCAGATTTATGAAACCGTGCGTACACCAGCTCTGGAGTTAGCATGGGGCTGCACACATTTCCACCTTCATTTCAGTTCCGAAATTTTGCGTGAGAAATGGCATACGCAAGGTTTTTGTGTGTACGCACCGTTGATATATGAGGCCCCTGAAGTCCAAACATTCCTGTCAGGGAGGAGACCAGGACTAAATCMAATGGGAGGCATGGTTTCCTCTGCGTCTGTGAGGAGAAGAACAATGATTTAATGCCAGAGAGGAAATGTGTGGAAGCTTTACATCCACACCTCGCAGGGCTTCAGACGGTTGGGTGGTGCTGTGGCTGTCTGCAGATATAGTTAGCTCAGTGGCAGTCAGGGTGGAGGTGGGGCTGAGGCCGACCTTCTGTCTCTGGGTGTGAGAGACAGGAAGTCAGGGCCAGAGTGCTGCAGGAACACAGCCCGTCTGAGGAACCTGGACTGAACTGTGTGTGCTGAATGAACGGGGAGGAAAGAAGAACACGTGTGTGTGTTTGAACTTATCTGAGAGGCTGAAGTGGCCTCAGGTTTAGTTTGGACTCCAKTCAGTCTGTTCTGAGCCTGGAAATGATCCACAAATAAAGAGGAGGATGTTTCATCCTGTCTGTTCTGATGGAGGGAAGCACATTTATGAGTCAAAATGGGCTTTACAGTACGTGTGTGTATGTGTACATATGTACATGTGTACGTGTGTACATGTGTCCGTGTGTACTTGTTTACTTGTGTACATGTGTATGTGTGTACATGTGTATGTACATGGGTACATGTGTATGTGTGTACATGTGTGTGTACATGGGTACATGTGTATGTGTGTACATGTGTGTACATGTGTATATGTGTATGTGTATACATG